CCGGCGGGCGGGGGGGAACCCCCCACCCCCCCCCCGCGGTTCGCGCTTGGCAGCCCGCGACAGCCCCGCGAGGTAGGCCGCCTAGGCGCTGCCCGCGGACTATGGGGAAGAACGGCCCTCAAGAAAAGCCCTTTAGCTGCTTAGCCGGCGCGGCCTCTTCCTCGCGCCCAGGGAGGAGCCCGTCCAGGATTAAGAGGGCTGGCGTGTACCGCACAGTCTAGAGGGCACGATACAAACGGGGGGAACGACAGCTTTCCTGGCCACATTTCCAGTCTGCTCTGTACTGGTTTTTCTCCTGAAGGAATGCTTGGTGAGTTAGGCGTCTGCTGCGCACTTTCCTTTCACCACTCTACATTATCAGGTTGGCAGAAAACTTTCCTGCAACGTGGAAGTTAGCCCGTTGTTGTGGTTGTTGTTGTTGTTTTAATATATTGGGTCCTGAATGATAAAACGACTGCATTGCCAAGATGCCATCCTTTTCCTGAATCACGGCAATAGTAATGGAAGGCAGTATATAGCGCACTTTTCCCAACTCTTTTGGCAGGATAAAAAAAACCACAGGAATTCTGCTGATAAATTCTAAAAAGTGGCAGGAACAGTCCGACGTTTTGAAGGTTTTTGCAGGTGCATTGTGGAGATTCTGGCATTATTTCATCAGAAAACAGCTTTTAGTGCCAGCTTGCAAACCTGTTGCGTTGTACAGAAAAGTGCTCTGGAAGGCAGGGTAGAATGGCAGCCTTTGGTTCACCACTGAGTATCCACAGGTCCCTCCGGATATTTGGAAGTGGACAGCACATCTCTGGGCTGATGTGCAGTAGTCCCTGCCTATGTTGACTGTCTAAGTTAGTTGGAATGGGGATTTTGTTTAATCTGGAGCTCCAGGATAAAGGGCTCTTCTGGAAAAATAGGGCACTTCTGAGCAGGTGCAGAATGCTGGCTTCAGCAAGGGTAGGTTTGCTACTCTCCGAGCCCTGTAGATTGGTTTGAGTGGTGGTTTTGTCATCTTTCAAGGTTATGGATGGGATGAACGTGAACTCTTCCATTCTGCCAGGTAGGGCAACTGCTTTCTTTTCGATTAGGGAGGGGAAGGGTAAAGTCACAAAGGAAGGGACAGGACACCAAACAAGCTGAGCTTCAGACTGCCTGACTCTGTGGCTGTTATAAGTTGCTGAATGCTTAGGCAGTTGCTTGGCCTTGATCCCATTTACAGCGGACACGCTGGAACTCTTTAATCTTAACCCTTGTACGAGTTTCAGCCCCAAGTTGAAAGGACAGTGGATTCAACTCCATGCGTACTGGCAATATTGACTTCTGCAGGGTGTCTCTGGGCATAGAGGTCTGGGATTGGTTGAGCCTCCTTTTCCCTCTCACCTCACTGCCCTGATTATTGCGATGTCCCAGATACAGTGCAGTGCCACTCCAAGGGCAAAGTAGCATGCAGTGGTTCACCTGATCAACAGAACGGCTTTAGGGGATCCTTCCCTGGTTGCTGGAAATTAGAAAGAGGACAAGAAAGCTGCTTCTTGTAGGCCTTGAAGAAGGTCTAGAAATGTCTGCAGGCTTCTCTCTCTGTCTCCTCTCTCCCCAAGCTCTGAAAAAGTAAATTTAGCATAGGGGATTTTAGGATTTGGGAAGAGATTTTCAGCTTTGTTCTATTTTGTCCATTGCATGTTCAGTCTGGCAGATTATTGTTAGACCTGGATATAATAAATAACTGCCTAGCTTGTCTTGCTGCGAAGATGTCTTAAATCTTCTGCTTACCTCCCCATTACTAAAGATGGGTACTGAACAGCCACTGAAGGGTGGACTTTGGGAAGCTGTGCGGCAGATGACTCCCTCCCCCCCATGTTGTGCTCTCTTCTTTCCTTTCCTCTTGAGCTTGACCCTCCAGTTCACTTTGTTTCAGCACTTCCAAGAAAAACCACTCCCTGCCCCCTTTGTAAATGTTCTCAGCTGTTTCTTGGAAAGGCAGGAGTCCAGTCTAGGACTCTAGGCCAGTCTACTGCAGAAGACCAAATGTCACACAACATTTTCAGTCCCAGGCTTCAGTTCTTTGTCACCCAGCTGTGCCGATGCTTAGTATAAATAACTCCTTCATAGCGTGCATTCCTAGCCCTCACAACCCTTCTTTCAGAAAAGGAGCTCTGAGTCGAGAGGGGACATGTCTGTTCTGCTCTGAGGAAATGTGGTATGGCTGGAAATCTTTAAAAAAGAAGGCTCTTTTAAACATGACTCGTATTTGTTTGAAAAGTGGGCAATGCCAGCCATAAAGGCAGTTGACTCCTTCAGTGGCTACTCTTCCCTCATTCCTGTTCTGAGTACTGGAATAGCGCCACATGCATGAATTAATCCACTTTTTGAGAGCACACATATATAGTAAAAAAAAAAAAAAATTGGTTTGCTTTGGCTGGAAATGAGATAACTGTCATTAGTAAGCATAGGAAGCATCTGCAAAGGTCTGCCATGTTCCTGTATAGTGAGAAGCTTTTTAGCCTTTGTTTAGGGTAAGTTCTCTGTTGATGTTAAACATATGCTTGTGGCTCATGCTCACAGGGTGTCATAAGCATTTGGCATTGCTGTCTGCTCTTTTGGAATGTAGGGATTTATGGGTGACACTCTTTTGGTTGGAACAGAATTTAAAATCACAGTGGCTCAGCCTTTTTTTCTTAGTGGCATGAAGATGTGAATCACTAAGGTTTGATTAATTGGAGTTCTAAAGGCAATTACTGAACAATATATTTTTTTTTTACAGTATTTGGCTACACTTTATTCTTTATAGCACTATGTAATTTAAAAAGAGATCTCCTCTGAGGTACAGATGGAAGAAGCACATCTCTTGGCCATGAGACTGAGTATGATTTGGAATTTGTGGCATGAAACCCTGTACTGGGCTTCTCCCGTGCAGATTGCAAAAAGAAAAAGACAAAAGACTCGATTTTTCTGCTTGCTGTCATAGCTTAACGTGAAGATGTGCCAAACTTGCTCTAATATTCCTTTTCCGTCTCTTCAGAGGAATATTGTAGATTGCTGATGGCTCTGAATGCTTGGAAATGGCTTGATGGATTTTTCTCCTGTCTTTGTGGTATAGAATTTAAGAATTAACTGAGTTAAAAGGAGAATATTCAAATGATGTAACACAGTGTAGTTGTACATATGTGTTTTCCTATTAATGGTTTATGAGTACGTATTTTACGTTTTTCTGGTTTTGAATCCTACTTAGACAAACCTACACTTTGTATGAAGTGGAAGTAAGACAGCATCCTGGACTTTTTGGAGGGACTAGCCTCTTGCAAGCTTACAAGGGGGAAAGGGTGTGTTTCTGTGCTTTTTCCCCTTAAGAGCCTGTTTGGTTCTGGGCTGAGCAGGGATGAGGGAGGATACACTGCATCCTTCCTCTTTCAATACCCTCCCGAATTTCCAGTGCTCTGTTAAATGCAGAGAAGGTGCGGTGTTTTGGAAAAGCACCAATAGGAAGGTCTGACGTCGTTTTTAGAAAAATTTGTAAGCTCTTACAGTCCTTAACTGTAAGTATGCTAACTATAATGGCTGGGTTCATACAACTCTCTAAGCTTAATATAAGCAAGCCATATTATGGCTCTGGTTGATATATGAATCGAGCCAGTGACATACAAGGGCAGTGCTTCTCGGTACACCCAGTTGGCCAGGTTTCTCACTGCTGCTAGGTTACTGGCTACTGGTACTAGGAGGAGGAGGAGGTTTCACTGGTGAGGGATAGGGACAAAGATGAGGAAGCAAATACAGTTTCAACTTACAGGTAGTGCCCAGTTTAAGAACGAGTTCTGTTCCCAAGGTCTGTCCTTACATTGAATTTGTATGTAAGCCGGAACAGTATTATTGTATAAGTAGTATTGTGTATTTGACTTGAATTTTGCTACAGTAGGCTCTGTTAACTATGGGTCATCTGTAACCCTGGCATTCTTAAGCCAGGGACTCCCTGTGGTGATATTTCAGGGCACTTATGCTAGAGAATGCAGAGAGAATATTATCAACCAATGTTTCCTGACTGAAAGAGTAGATTAAAAAACAGGGTGTGCTTAACTGAATCAGAATAGGACAAACATGCCCCACCCCAAAGCCAGTTGGGTTCAGAGTCCCAGCGGGCACTTTCCCACTCCCTCTTCATGCAGCTCACTGCCTGCTCCTTGTAACCCAAGTAGAATTATCTTGGAAGGCTTCACTACCAGTTCCTGAAGAAATGTTTCCCCTTGAGAGCACGTGCAGAGGCAGACTGGAGCTGTAGCTCCTTCCCAGTGGCTTTCACTTTAACTCCCAGGATCCTGAAGCTGGCAAGAATCTAATTTTCACTGACCATAGATAATGCTACTCAGTTCAGTATCTATTAACTTTATGTAATCTGCCACTTAAGGATGATCTCCAGCTTTGCTGATATAGCCACCCTATTTATTTCTGGTTTCCACTCAACAAAGAACAAGATTCTTTTGCTTAATATGTATTGGAAACATCCAGGTTTCTGCTGGATGTTTATACTTTCAGAAATAGGACTTTAAGTCATTATGTGCTGCTTCTCCCCAGTCATCCTGAATGTAACTTGAAATTTGCATCATACCTCGTACAGCTTAATCCAATGGTGTACTATCTCTTCCTGTTTTAAGAGTCTGATGAAACACACACTTTCTCTCCCTGTCAACCCTACAAGGTAGACCAGATTAAGAAACAGGTGCCATGTAGGCCTAAAGCTACTTTTATTACAATGACTATAGTAACACAATCTTGCAAGTCTGAATGTGCTTCTCCTCCTCCCTCTTTTATCTTTATGTGAATTAGGGGGGTGCCTGCCTTAGGCATTTTTGGAATCTCTGCCTTAGTATGGGTTTAAGCCATGTTTATCTGTTTGTTGCCTTGGTAATGGATCTTCTTTTTCTCTGTCAAGGTCATCTTCTCTGCTCTCTACACTCCCTTACCCTTAATGCTCCTTTTTTCTAACAGCTGGCCTGCTGAAGAATTCTGGAGGGCTTAAAACCTTGCTTACTACTTCATTATATTTTGGATGTTCCCAGTTTGGGGAAAGCAGGAAAGCAGCTGTCTATCTAGGTTGCTGAAAGTCAGTCTCACTTAAATGAAGACTCCTTAGCAAGCTTAACAGTGATAGAATGGTAGTGGAATAGGTCCTGTCATGGATTGATGACTTATTAAAGAACACGATGCAGACAATAGACATAAATGGTCAGTTCTTGCAGTCAAGTGAGCTGTATAGGAACCTCTGCTTTATAACTCTTTCATATGTCATCTGGAGTTGGGAATCACTAAATTGTGTTTGCATAGATCAAT